CGCTTATGCAACAACAAAAGCAAGATAAGACGACCAGTCCAGTGGCAGCCTCAGCAACAGTAGGTCTCAACATACATAAAGGAAAGAGCAAGGTTCCACGATGCAACACAACATGCACCAATCAAATCACTCTTGATGGAGATGGCTTGGAGCACGTTAACACCTTGACATATCTGTGCAGAATAATCGACAACCAAGGTGGATCAGATGCAGAAGTGAAGGCGCGGATCGGCAAAGCAAGTGCTACGTTTCTACAATTGAAAAATATCTGGGACTCCAAACAAATATCAATCAACACCAAACTCAGGATTTTCAATACAAATGTCAAGACAGTTCTACTGTATGGAGTGGAAACTTGGAGAACTACGAAAACACTCATCCAGAAGACACAAGTGTTTATGAACAGTTGTCTACGCAAAATACTTCGGATACGTTGGCCAGACACTATCAGCAACAACTTACTGTTGGAGAGAACAAACCAGATTCCAGTGGAGGAAGAAATCATGAAGAAGTAGTTGTAACCTTCAAGGCAAACAGAGAAGAGGAATTCCAAGGAACACATTACGCCGAGAAATAGAGATAGATATGACAAGAATGATCAGAAATCGGACAGAAGTGTAGAGGTAAGCCCGGGACAGAGTTGGTTGGAGAAAACTGGTGGGCGGCCTATGCTCCATTGGGGGTAACAGGCGAAAGTAAGTAAGTAAACATATTAAGTAATATTTTGATCCTTTAAGAGGTAATGATGTGTGTTTGACTAATCAGCACCAAACAGATTATGACAAACATCTACATTTCTTTTGTTTATCTAGGGATTATCCGGATAATACTGATATGGAAAGAAAAATCAACTTGAAACTCACCAGATATTCCTAGTATCCTGATGAACAACTAAAACCCTAGATCAATTCAATTTTTGCTAATTGAGTTCAAAATTCCACCATATTGACAAATCGGTCAAAAATTCAAAAAGAAGTATGGTATTTGGCTTTGTGTTTAGAAGAGAAAATCAAATCATGACAAAAATAAAGTAATTTTTCTTCTTATATTTTATTAATATTGAGTTGTTTTTTTCAAACATAGATAACATTCTCTAGTTAACCTTTTGACAGACACATAGATAGCTTGTTGATTAAACGTTAATTAATATTTTTATGAAATATAAATATTAAATATCTATGAAACTGTATTATTATATGTTCAACAATAATGATCATAATTGAGACTTCAAAGAACTATTCATTTAGATTTTAAATATGATGTTTTTTACGACTAGCAGATGCGTAAAACTATTTTGGTGTAATCATTCAATTTTTTTTTTCAAAAAAAATTTACATATTTCACCTTATCTCATCTCTCTTTTGATGGATGTTGTTCTAAAACTTCGGTAAAAAACGTGTCGTTTACTTCCAGGGTTTTTCTGATAAATATATATATACATACATATCTAAGTGTACGGTTAAACATAGTCTTGTCTTCATCAAATTATAGGTAAGTATAATTAGCTGTCTTCTGTCTATTGCAAGTCATATGTGTTATCTTTTAATAATTTGTGTTAATATTCAACTGATCTGAATAATATTACTAGACTTGATGTGCGAAAATGAATATCCTTAAGGTTAGATATAGATATAGAATACATCTAGACCGATGATCATCTGATATTCTATCTGTCCTAAGCAATACATTCAGGGATATTTGCCTTCAGTTTTGGCATATTGTAGTATAGTTTTCAAACTAAGTTACTTCATTGATTATGCTATTGATCCGTTCCTAATAGGCATCATATATACATGATTCCTTGAGTATTTATTGTTTTAGTATTGTTTTTCTTTATTTGAACATCATAGAGGTTTCGCTGAAAATATATATCGCACTCTTAGTATGGAGTAGTTCAATGGTCTTTAGATTTTGTGAGGTAGTTGTTTGAGTTGTTGTTGGGGACGTTAGATATTCAGAAAATACTTTGAAAGGTTTTAATTTTGTAAATCTATTCTGAAATTTTGAATTTCTATGTTTTCGGGCCAGTTGACCTTCAGGTCACATTTCCCAGTCGGAAAATCCTTCAATGTCATTAGTTGATGGATTATTGTAGTACACTGTTTTGTGGCTCTCCCAAAGGCGTTTCTATCATTGATTAAATAAGCTTGATTTGTGTGCTTAGACACCTCGTATTTTCTGGGTGCTTGTGGAATATATTCTCTACACCTTATCAAGACTTCTTGATCTCGCTACCGTTGCAGGGGACGATCGGATTAGAATAGCCTATCATGTCAATGTATCATTTGTTTTCGTTCCGTTTACCGAGTAAGGTTAATCCGTAATAGCATTGAAGCATATCGATTGACGATCGTATCAGTTGGAAAGCCTAAATTTTAATTTTGGGACATTTCCTATCGACTAACCATTTTATATTCTTTTCGTTACACGTACTACTTACGGCAGAGCTTATAAGTAGTATACAGGGGATATGCAGCAGTCTCTCACTGAAGTTACTACCGAAGGAATGTCGGTTATAGATTTGGGTGTTTTGAGGAACAGAATAAATTTGGAACAAAACAGCCAAAAACCCGCTTGTGTCGCGAATGTGTGTTTTATGATAAGGTGTACATTATTTGTGAGAGTAGTATCTATCTCACTCAAACTTGAAAATAGTGAACAATGAAATCTGCTTATAACTACTGATGACAGCATCTCTGAACCTTATATTGTTATAGCGGTTCATTCAGACACTGGCCAACTGATAAGTGCTCCCTTTACTAAGCAGTGAAACCTATTCAATAGGCTTTACATGTGGCTTCAATTTCTAAGCTTGTGTATCAGAGTCGGAAAACACGGCATAACTGTTTATATTAATCAATGGTTAAGTAAATACCCAAAAATGCACTTTCACTAAACAAAATCGTTTACTTATTCAGACTTATAGAATATTACATTCTTCACTCAATTAAATCATAGAAAATACAAATGTAATTGTTTGGTAAAACTCTTCGTCTACATTAAGTTTCTAGTCTGATTTTTTAAATGTCTACCTTTTATAAATACATCTAAATAACTTCTTGAATTCAATAACATCTAATAATAGAATTAACACATTAAGAAATTTGAGCTGCGATAATATGCCACAATTTGATGCTTTACAAAAATGTCTACATACAATCAATGTTTCGCTATTTATTATTTATGTGCGATCCACCTACACATGACCTAGCTAGATGATTAGCGAAATTACTCAACAGAATCCGTAATAAATTGTTTACGTTTTTCTTAAAAGACAAATTTGAACTAACTGGTGTTCTTGATGGTATTAATATTAAAGTCTATGCGTTCTTTTTATGTAAACTTTCTCTTTACTAATCAATGTGGTTAATTTTCCTTGTTGACTATATCATGAGTAATTTCTCTTTTATTATGTAATGAAAAATTTCATTTCACGTTTCAAGATGAACATTCTCGACAAGTTAGTGATGTTGTTATTGGCTAGTCCTTTGGAGCTTCTCATAGCTGATGTATGTATGAGTGAGCTCATTAGTGAGGTAGGTGACTATGTACAGGACATGTACATGGATGATATATTGGTCATATGTGATAAAAATTTCGATGTTACTCAGTTACTATATAAACTCAATCGTATACAGAATGATATCGATATACCTATGAGTCGAAGGGTGGAGAAACTATTAGGCGGTCAGTTTATAGGACGCCTACCTGGACTGGACAATATTTAAATTTTCTCTGTTTCTGTCCGTTGCAACACAAGCGAGACTTGGTTAGAAATGCCTTTTCAATAGGATTGAAAGAGTATAGACTACAGATATTATATTCTTTCCATACTATGTTAATTTTGTCTCTCCTTTATCTATAATTATCACCTTCAGTTTATTCGAACTCTTATTGATTTAACCTTTAATAATTTTCATATGAAATGTCTTCATAAGTAAATGTATGGTCAGATTGTTGGAATAACACAGTGTAAATAAATCCCATTTTTCAGATCAACTCTGTCTCCTCATTGTTCTATCAAAATGTAAAACGGGAACTAATTGCTCTAAATTTCACGACACATACATTATTAGATTTAAAGTGTAAATCTTTTCTTGTCGATTTCTAGGAAGTGATTGATTGCTTGTTGAACTATTCATACCTTCATCTTGCCATTTTACGCCTACTTTTTACTACCGGGTAAAAGTGTTTTGATCTTTTCAATTATAAGTACAAATGTTATAGATTTTTCTAGTCCCACTTAATGCTTGGTATCATCTCACTGCTGATTTATATGAAGATGTATTTTACTAGTTTTTTGAGGTAATCTAAAATCTCTGGCTCCTAGTCCAATCTCTCTAGCTTGCAATCTGTCTCAGTTATTAAACTCAGCTTTAAACCACATATGTGAAAACATTTTTCGTTATATATTGATTTAACGAATGAATTACCATAATAGATTGACTAAGTCTCAGTTTATGTATTCGATTTTCAGCTGTATTTTACGTTTGGGGCTGTTATATTAACTAGCCACCTAAATTGAAATAGATAGACTGAACTAGTGGTTACTGATTGAGAGTATAGTGCTTTAGTCACTAAACCGCTGATCTTCATTGTAGACATTCATTTATACATAATGACAAATTAAGAGTTAAACATATTCAATGATAAATATATGAAATCGACTGAAGTGGTTTTACATTACGAATTTTAGTTATAAACACGAGAATTCTATTTTATTTTTTATATTGTGAATGCGTTAATCAGTTTTCCATATCGACTACTATCAGGTATATTGTTCAGTTAATTTTGTCAATATATAATGTGAAAATAATATGCAAATTCGAATTCTAGAACAACTCACAAAGTCACATACCAGACGAATGTACGGGTAGAAATGAAACTCATAGCTTACATAACTGACTTGAGGTCAGTTAAGAATCATTGATTTACAAAAATATCATAATGGATGTCACCTTAATACTGCAATATACTCTTTACATTTTAGAAATTGAAATATGGAACAAGGTTTGCGATTATGTTGGAGTTTACTTCCTACATTATTGACATGGATAATAAATTATATAATTCGCCTAATTCTGCTACCAATGATTTTGATATTTCTTCTTGGTCGTGCTGTGAGATACTTCAACAAAAAGTCCGAACTGCGTAGTAAATTATTACGTAAAAGAGAATTAATAACTAAACGAATGGATCATTTGAAAGAACATCTTTCAACCACGAAAAATACATCAAATTTTGATTTGTTATCAATTACAGATCTAAATTTAGATACGATTCAAGAATGCTTGATTGAAGGCAAATTTACACCAGTTGACTTGTTGCATGCTTATCAAATGAAAGCCTTACAGTTATATGACTCAGGAAATTCAGGAATATGTGAATTTGTGGATGAAGCAGAGCAGTTAGCTGTTGAACTTGTTAAATCGAATCGTTTGCCTACAAATAAACAAACTTTGGTTGGTATTCCTGTTAGTCTAAAGGAACTGATTCCGGTCAAGGGATATGATGTAACATTTGGTTTGATGAAACGATGTGATAAACCTTCAGATGAAGACTGTTGCATAGTGAAAGTACTTAGACATGAAGGAGCAATACCTTTTGTTCTGACAGCAACTTCACAAACAGCTCTATCTATGAGTGGAATAAATCCAGTGTTTGGTGATATGTTCAATCCTCATTCACAAGAACACGAACCAGGCGGGAGTTCTAGCGGTGAAGGTGTACTTGTAGGACTAAATGGATCACCAATTGGAATCGGGACAGATTTAGGTGGAAGTATACGAATCCCTTCGGCGTTCTGTGGTCTTGCTGGCTTGAAACCAACATCTAATCGTCTAAGCGACAAAGGTGTGGCGGTAATCGGTCATAAAAAATCACTGGTATTAAGAGGATGTCCTGGACCAATGGGTAGACGAGTGGATGATCTAGCCAAATTAATGCGTACACTTCTAACAACAAAAATGTTTCAGATGGACCCATCTGTGCCACCATTACTGTTTAATGATATGATCTACGAGGGTGTAGATAAGCCGAAACTGAAGATCGGATATTATGTAAATCTGGAGGATCCATCAATTATGACTAGCGTTCCATGTGTTCGTAGAATAGTGAATGAGTCGGTGGATATTTTAAGACAACGTGGTCATATACTGCTACCGTTTCAGCCACCTAATATAAAATGGGCTTATGAATTATGTATGAAAGCAATTAATATTGATATAAAATATTATTTTAAAAAGATCTTGTTTGCAGAACCACTAAATGAACACACTAAATCTCCTCATCTTCTGGTCGGTACCCCACACTGGGTGAAAGTTCTTGTAGATAAACTGGTGGAAATCATCTATGATAAACCAGCCGCAGGTGCACGTTTTTTGGATGGTCCTAGAGGCGAAGCAGAAACATTAAATTTAATCTCCGATATTGAATTGTATCGACATGAATTTCAGAGAGCTATGGAAGAAGCTGGTAATTTAGATGCGATCATTTGTCCAGGTTTCCCTTTTCCAGCATTTCCAAAATCAGCTAAATCTCTATTTGTTTCACCAGCTCTTGCTTACACAGTTTTGTTTAATATGTTAAATTATCCAGCTGGAACAGTTCGAATGGGATATGTTAATAAGGTAGATGTGGAAAACTCAAAAGTGATGGCTGAAGAATACAAGAAAGCTGGAAATCGATATCTCAATCAGGTATTTAAGTATCAGGAAACAAGTGAGGGCTTGCCGATCGGTGTACAAGTTATTAGTAAATCATGGCAAGAGGAGCGTGTACTGCGTATTATGAAAGAATTAGAGACATCAAGAACACTAACTGAATAGTTGTAACTAATATTTTTAACCTACTTTCTTCGTTTGACTTTGCTGGACCATAGTTTATCACAATGATGTAAAACATATTTTATCATTGAGTCTACACAGAAGTATAAAATTTCATTGTTATAAAAACACAAATTTTGGAATCTACTTACCTGTTTCATGAAAATGTAAAAAAAGTGCATGTTATTCCACCGTTTTATTATCGTTCGTACAATATTTAAAATAATATGCAATCAAAACAGGAATTTATTATTAACCAATATAAAACAGTTTATTTACAATTTTGATTTTGTTTAAATGATAGTTATTGTCAGTAGTTGCCACGATGAAAATTGTACTGTGTATTTTTCAATACACTAGCATAACTTTAACCAGTAGTTGTCCTTGAACTTCAATTGTATCTCTCTCAATATCTTATTATTTATCACAATGCTTGTGTCACATCTTGCTTTCCATTGTTCATAACATTCCTGGAATTTCTTCGAAACTAAACATTTCAATTGCATCTCTCTGATAAATGACTGTTTCAATTGTTTTACTGTTTATGTATGATATTCAATCCAGTAATTTTGAAATGCATGTTTTTTGACCCTAATAATTGTGTATCATTTGCATGAAATTGTCATTTTATTGATTCCTGCTGAAACTAAATCCTCATATAAGCATAGATTTTATACTGATGTTTGTTGTCTCGATTAATCACATTTTTTGAGCGTTAGATATCTTACACAATATTCTAAGACCGTAGTAGATCATTTTTAAGAAAACAAGAATGTATGAAGTCATAAAATAATAAGTTCTAATTTGATGACATAGTCCTTTTTGGTGAAGACGCTGACAAAATGCAGAGTCTTCTGACCACCGTAAGCAACAATGCAAGCATGTTCGGGATGCTGTTTTCATCGTCGAAATGAAAAATGTTGCTTCAAGATTGGGTTTCATCGGCACCTGAACGAGTGATAGGGAGTGAAGTAGTCGAGCGTGTACACCGCTTCACTTATCTGGGGAGTCTCATCAGTGCCGATGGCCTGGTGACTGACGAAATCTCAGCTCGGATACAGGAGGCTCGATTGGCTTTTGCCAACCTGCGTCACTTATGGTGTAGGCGAGATATACGTTTTCAGTAGTTCGCTGCGTCTTACTTTATGACTGTGAAACATGGCCAGTGAGAGTAGAAGATATTCGTCGGTTATTGGTTTTCGATCATAGGTGTCTTCGAAGCATTGCTCGTATATCGTGGGACACCGGAGTGAGGAACGCTGTTATTAGGAAACGGGTGCTAGGTAAGAATGGCAGATCAATAGACGAAGTGCTGAAACTTCATCAACTTCAACTCCCAATTACCTTCAGTTCGTATTTCTTACCAGGAAAGACCTTACACTACACTGGTTGGTTCTCTCTCATTGAGTTTTAATATCTGTCATTCACAGGTGTTGAAGATGATAGGTCTCCAAAAATCGCTTAGTAGACCTCCTAATTTGTAATTTATTTTTGAGAATTTAAATTCCTTATTTTTGTCCCAAAACAACTCTCAATTACCTTCAGTTCGTATTTCTTACTAGGAAAGACCTTACACTACACTGGTTAGTTCTCTCTCTTAGTGTGATATTGTGTAAGTCTTCTTAGAAGACATTTTGTAATGCATAAATGACGCTTCAGTAAAACGCTTATTAATTTGTTCGCTCGTTGCTGCTTGTGGATTATATGAGGTTACCACTGACTTGGGATTCTTGCTCTAGTTCGTTGGGCTGGATCACAGAGAAGAGATAAGCTTGCTGGTTGTTGCATCACTGGTTTACGTTCCGTTCACCAATATCTAGTCATATCTTAATTATCGTCAGCATAGAAACAAGAGATTTGCACGCAATATTTAAAGCCTGATTGTACTTGTCCGGAATTTCAATGAATATCAATGATGGTTGTATTTTCATTAATCCATGCAAGTTGTAGACAAGGAATTGAGACGTCATGTGCGATATTTGAATAGTGACATAAGCCTGCGCGATGATGATTCAAGGAAATATTTAAAATGTGTGAATATAGAGATAGTTCAAACCAGGACATAAACATAAATATTTACCTACCCAGAAAAGGTGACTAGACCAAATATCTGTTTCTTAGAGATCTGTTTCGATTCTCTTTAACTACTTACAAGTATCTTGTCATATGAACCAACTTTTTCACATCCTCTCATGCCTGTCGATTTTATTCAACTGACTCATTTTGTTGTTCTCACTGAATCTTTCTCCAGAATCATATAAACTACTAATAACCTTGTTTTCGAAATTAAGACTATCTTTAATATCTCGCCTACCGATTTCTTGTCTTCGCTGACTAACTTGATAGATCAAGGTGTTTGTCAACCATTATAATATGAATATTACGTTCTATTGATCAATTCAGTACATCTTTTATATTTACGAAATATTTGAATTTGTTAATCATAGGAAAAGAGAAATACATTTGATTTAAAATCATATGATTTATCAATTGTTTAATTATCAGTAGTAATATAAAGTAATATAAAAGATGGAATAATTGATCGACTGTTCTTTGTCTCATTTTATTCATTATAACAGGAGAATAAAAATTGTATCGCTCAGCCGACAATTCATTCTATTCAATTAAAACTTATCAAACATTTTGCCTGTTGAACAACAGATACTGTCTTTATACAGTTACTAATAGATGTTCAAAATAATCAAAAAAAAATAGATTTATGGGCGACAACTAATCAAAAATTGAGTCAGCTACAGTTATGGTAAGGAATTCGATGCCCTTGAGAAAATCATAATATTTATATAGATGTAAGGCGCTAACTGAAAATCGCATAGATTATTGTGATGAGAAACGCTTTTGTCAATTTCAAGTAACAAGATTAGGTTGCTGAAGTTTGATTAAATGAATAATTATCATCATTAATGTCAACAGTTTACATAAAATGATTTGTTCGTTGAAATGTTTTTTATTCTCAAATTGAAATCAAAAAGGGTGGACTGAGACAATTCAAGAAGATTAGAGATTTATGCCTATTTATGTTGTAAGTAGTTCACATTTTAATAAAATGGATCGATTTGAATAGACGAATTGTGAACTCCAGGCCCAGTTAGTCAACAAATAGCAACTTATGGACGACCTTGGCTGACCTATCAGCTAATCAGGACATTCTTCTGGATATGTGACGAGTAACAGCACAAAGTAATAAAATAACAGTGGGATAATAGATTTGATCTGAATAATGTAGCTTCATATGCCGAATTATTCCCTGTAGTAAAAGAAAATGGTTAAGTTTACTCAATAAGAGTCGGGAAAATGATATGAATCAGAGTAATCAATACATGAGGTTTCTGTGACCAACTGATACTATCTGTAATACGAAAAGGTTAGGGTTAAATATTAAGACATATGCTGTAGTTGTGAGATAGATTTACCAAATTAGATTTCGAATTTTCATTACGAAACGAAATGATCTATGGTGCTATGCTTCGTCAAACCTCATCCAACAAACTTAAGAAGCTTAGAATTGAGAATTAGAATATAGGTTTAGAGGAGAGACTACCAACTACCTTGAAGCTCTCTTGACAGCAAATTACATCAAAACATAGTCTAAAACCTACCTTAGTTGAGGGTGAATTTTAAATTTTAATGTAGGCACTATTTAAAAGTAACTTTTTAACTGCATAGTAGGAATTACTTAGTTAACACTAAAATATAAGCTTTCTCTAAATCAGCTTTAAATTCTGAGTAAAGTACGTGAGGTCTTATATGAATTTTAATTGATCAACTGAAGGTCGTTCGTATGTTTTATACTGTTACCCTGTTTATTCATTGAATGAAACACAGATGTGTATCGATTTCCCAGCCTTAAATAAAGCAATCATTTGCGAGAAAATAAGAAATGTACAATTAGATACACAGAGATATGATAAAACTATGAACATACTCCACAGTACAATAAAGAGTAAAAGTAAGGAAAAAGATATGTGATAAAGTGTGAAAATAGCAATAGTTATACAGCCTTAAACAATACTTCATAACTAAATCTATGCAAAGTTCCAGGAAATAATTCTGTGATATGCCTTTACTGATCGTTAATAGGTCTACTGTTTGTAACAGTTCAAACATGACTTAGGATTAATCTTTGCTGCAACTGTCTCTTATTGATCATCAATTATAGACTACAGTAATCAGGATTTTTGCATAAATTCCGAAACTGGAATCAAAAATAAAATAAAATTTAACTGATATTTTCTCATATCCATGTTTTGGTCCATAGTCAATAAATGAAAAACATTTAATGACAGTAAGAAATTCTAGTTGAAGAAGGATACCAAACGATCTCTTTCAAACAACTAATAAAAATCTAAATCTAATCATAGAATTAAAAAGTGTACAGGTATAAATCTGTATTGATACAGGTATCAACCAGTAGAAAGTCTATTGCTTAGTAGTAATTTACTGAGTGTATTCAAAGTATTTAACTGTATCCTGACAATTCAACTAGCAGCATATTCGCAAAATAATTCATACAGATAGTGTAAAATGAATCGTCTTTAAACAACAATGGACAACATGAGGATGACTTCCGCTGCAAATCAACTTTAATAACACAATCACTGAAAATTCCGGAAACACAAGACAACACATTAATGAAAATAATATTTAAGCAGTAATGACTAAAGATTATTCAAAATTGTACGGATAAAAAGGGAGCACGCTAATAAAGGCGCACACTGATAAGTTACAAATCTAGCTGCATTACATCTAGATCTTATAGATAATCTCGCAGTAGATGTGGTAGTAGTTCATCATTTCAGACTTGAGCTATGTGTGCAGAAGTGTTTCGTCTAGCTGTTATCATATCATGATTCCAGCACCTAATTTTTCCCACAGTCCATGAATACTGCTCCTCTATCCAAGTGTTTTTGATTCGAAAATATTGTTATTATCACCTTCATATTTTCAATTTATCTTGCATATTTTTCATACTGTTTAAATGGATGAATATCTGACACATTTCGTTAAATCTCATTCTTCATTTTACTCTTACTTTTCTATCATTATGTAACCTTATTTTGGTCATTGAGTCTGTTCACTGCTGTTCGTATTTTCTGACAGTCTAAGTGAGGTAACATGCTGAGGTAGTTGTTAAAGGACATTTCAAATTCGGACCTTGATTTTGTGACACACGATTATTTCGTTACACAATAAAATAATCCTACCAATTTATCCGAACTCAAATAAAATGTTTTATTTGAAGATAAACAAATAGAAATTCGTAACGTGAGTCATTGCATTTGCACAGCAATTACCTATTTGCAATCGGGTTTATGACCTTCACATGACTATTCTAATAACGGTGATAATGTTAACGAATTCGAAAAATTACAGTATTTTCATCACTCCTTTGGAAACAGAAGTATTTGATTGGTTGTAAGACAGAGGGATAGAGAGTAAATCGAACATATTTCACACCATAAAAAAATGCTGTTCCTCCTTTATTAATATAATATTAATATAATAATAATGATAATATAATAATAATAATAATAATAATAATAATAATAATAATAATAATGATATATAATAGTCGTCCTTATCATTGCTCGTCCCTGTTAGCGTGGCCCCTTTTTTATCCGTGCCCTTTTACTCGTGACCTTACTAGTGTGAACCAAATAGTGTAAATGTCTATGTGG